GCATTAAGAAAAGTCTTAAGATAAGAAAGAGAGCATGGTGGTGGTTAAAAAACTGTTGCTGTATCTTACACTTGGATAAAGCAATACATATTAATATTAGCAGTTCATACTATAGGATAGGATAGTCCTAAGTAAACATTTATACAAATGCATCATGTAAAATTTCTTTTAAGTAACTAAATGATAATCTGAGAAACTGCATAGTTAGAGAGTGTACAGGAACAACCTCTCATACATAACTCTGTACTTTATTAGGCTCACCTAGGACGTACGAGGGTGGATTCCCTTTTCCCCTTAGTACCGAATTAATTGGTGGCATAGATTCAACAAGACGACTGAAGCATTCCTCAGAGATTTTGTTCTACATTCATGTGACAGCATCACACAGTTGCTGCTTATTTGTCAGCTTCACATCCATGAAGCATATCTCCCATTCTACCACATCCAAATGGTGCTCCTTTGGATTGGGGTCTGGTGATAGTGGAGCCCATTCGAACTGTCATGTTCAAGAAACCAGTTTGAGATAGTGAGAGATTGGTGACATGGTGTGTTATCTTGCTGGAAGCAGAAATCAGGAGATTTGTATATTGTGGTCACAAATGCATAGATAAGGTCAGCAAGAATACTGAGGTAGGCTGTGGTGCTTAGATAATGTCCATTTGGTCCTACTGGGTCCAAAATGTGCCAAGAAAACAGTCTCCACATTATAATATCACCAGCATCAGCCTGAAGTGTTGATATTACGCATAGATGGATGTTGTTTACTCCACATTCTGACCTCACTGTCTAAATGCCTTCAGAAATTGATACTATTAAATTCGGTTCTTTCGGATTCTTTATGGCCAAAAGGACAAGGCTCAAAGTAGTCTTTTTACTTTAAAAATGATCTTTAATTAACATATCCTGGATATGGAGACCTTTGCACACAACACACACCCCAAGGTCTGAAGCACAAACGGAAGCCTAGGTATATACTTGCTCTCTAGTGTGCATCGAACAGCCTAATTGGTTTCACTTTCACTTGATTCTAGCTGCAAAAGCATGCAGTTTCCTGTCAGGACTTTTGGCACAGAGTGTACTCAGAGTTAGGCCTTTCTTATATAAAGCAATGTAATCAGCATATAAACATTTGAGATGATAAATTTAAACCTCAACAATACTCATTGGACCAGGCAACGTTCTTCCAATCCTTTGGTGTCCAATTTTGGTGAATGTGTGTGAATTGTAGCATCAGTTTCCTCGTCTTAGTTGACAGGCTTCTAAGTTCGCCATGTTTTGCATCCTGAGGTGCTCTTCTGTATACCTGGGTTCTAATATGTGATTATTTTGCTCAAAGCAGTCTGGCCATTCTCTTCTGACCTCTGCCATCAGTGAAATATTTTTGCCCAGAGAACTGACACTCCATGGGTATTTTCTCTTTTTCAGACCATTCCCTATAAACCCTGAAGATGGTTGTGTGGGAAAGTCCCAGTAGAGCAGCAGTTTCATAAATACTCAGACCAGGCCAGTATTTCAGAAACTGTATTTATGGGAGTGCAGGCCCATCTGGCAACAACCATGTCATGTTCAAATTCTCTTAAATCACCTTTCTTTCTCAGTTTGAAGTTTAGCTAGTTCTCATGTCTGTATGTCTAAATGCCTTAAGACATTTGATTGGCTAATTAGATATTTGTGTTGAGAGTCAGTTGAAGTAAAATTGCAGATCAGTCTTTATAAACCCCCTTGAAGCAATACATTTTTAATATGTTGTTCATGAGCAATGGCACAGTTAATCCATTGTGCGCTGCTGTTTCTAATAATTGCTTTGAGTTACGTAAATCTTGAGAATCATTCCACAAACTAAAAATGTCTCCCCTAAAGCTCTTTATCAGGTTTGACAGCAAAACGATTCCTTTAAAGGTTTATTTACTGCATTCTAGTGACACATGAGCCATTAACAAACTAATGGGAAAATGTGTCATTTATGAAACTGTTGCAATAGTAGTTTGTCATTGCAATAGCCACACACATCTTAACACATTTCTATGTACTTACTTATTTTTATAAGACAATGAGCGTGCCAAAGTAGTTTTCCTACGTTTCCATACACTTTCCAGGCCTGCTTCAGAGCTGTGTTTATTTACCTTCTTCCAGTGACTTTCCATTCTCCAGCCTCTTTTCCCTCCATGTGGCATTTTTAAGTAGTGACAGGGCAAAAAAAAAGAAAGAAGAAAAAAGAATCACATGTTGCTTCCATAAACAAAACTCTGGTTTACCCTCTGTAAACCTGGCATGGTAGTAACACTGTACACTGTGGCTATGGTAAACCAGCCATATTCTTTTGGGGTAAAGAGGAAATTCTGCAATAAATATAAGTAATGAAGGTAATTATATACTCTAGGATTCAGGAAGGAAATTAAAGAATTTGAGGGTTAACCTCGAAGGCCATAAAATCACAAAACGGCATTCCTTTCTCATTTTGAGTGGAAATAAAACAAATTTCCTTTACATATATGCACATATAGTGTTTTATTATATATTTTTCACTGGACGTGATCAGATTTTTTCATTTATTATTTTGATGGATTTTGCCCTACTACGACAATAACATATTGTGGATTGTGGTTAAGATAGATTGGATGCCTAATAAATGTTTACATCAACACTGACACAGTAAGACAGTAAAAACAGAAAATACAGTCGCAGTCATAATGTTAGAGTCAAGGTTTTTTTTTTTCTCTTGTTTTTCAGACTGGAAATTCTAAATGTTTCCTCTGAGCATTTTTTGTGCTGAGTCTGGTCCTGCTCCGAGTAAGATGTTTCACTGAGAGACAAATAGTTGAAATAGTTTCTCTGCTGGGCAATGAACTGCTTGAGAAATTTATCCAACTCTGGAGAGTCTGCTTGCATAGTTAGGAAGTGAGGTCAAGCTCCGCTGCAGCTGCCGCCTGCACAACACTAACAGATAACAGACCTTCCTGTCAATACTCTCTCGCTTTTGCTCTCGCTCTCTCTCTGTCAACTCTGCTCATTTCTCATCAAGACTCTTTGTTTTACCAAGTGGAAAGTCCTATAGTTGTCGTATAGTTAGGACAAATATTGTCTGATGACTGAATTCGCAGCACTTGACATGCACGAGTAATGTCAGTGACCCTTTCCACTGCGCTAACATATTTCATCTACTCGGGGAAGAGTCCACTTTAATGAACAAAGTGCATAGCTGATTTATTATTTATATTTAATATTTATCACAGTCATTCAAATCCCTTAAATCTAAGTTATTTTTCATCAATTTTTAATGAGGTTTTTGACCTTATTAACCTTTCTTTACTTACATTTGGTCATAAAGAGATATTGGTACTTTGTTTTCTTGACTAATGGTGGTGTGCTTCATAAGTGATGCTAATGTGGTTGTAGAGTGATTGTTATTTGTTTCAACAGATACACAAAAAACATTTGAGAAAACGGGCAGGAAGGCTATCAGTGAGGGTTATGTGTGCTCATTATAGAGAGGCACTAAAACACCGCCATAGTGCAGTGTCTACCACTGTTGCCTCACATTGAGGAGGTATCTGGTTCAAACCTCCTAGTGAGCTGGGGCCTCATTTGCTTGTGAGAGAGTGTACTGTGTTAGAGGACTATTATACTTCGCGAATGGCACTGTACGACAATAACAGTGTCATAGGGTTGCGCACCTCTCAGTTTTTGTAACCTTCCATGCTCAGCCACTGCTGCTGCCAGTTTGTAGAAGGAAACGAATGTGTGACTGTGCTGGTTTTTACCACCCTTGTATTGATATCAGTATAGAAGCCCTGAGGGAGATGTTACCACAGTATAAAAAAAACAAAACAGGACTTTGTGACAAAAGCTTCTTCTGCTATACCAGCACTAATGATTAGGGTTTGCATAAGTGGCAACACCTATAACTCTTGGAAATAATGTAGTTGAAATCGCCACATTAACAGCAGAAATAGATGTGTGATGACCTCAGTGGTGGTCTAAAAGCAATCAATGCGTCAAATTTAATGGGGTCCCTGGCCCTGTGATTGGAAAAGGAAATATCTATCTGATTCAAACACAGGATGTTGCATTGTTAGTGGATTGATAGTGTTTTGTTAGAATTATGAGAGGTGGTAGGATGAATTCTAATGTAGCACCAAAAGGACCCATTTCCAAGTTGCCTGTACTGACTAGTTATTATTCAAGTGTAAGTTAGCAAAAGCCCAAACCAAGTAATCAGTTCCCAAATGTTGCTCATGAGTCATGACCGTTACTTACATGAATCTTGCATTCTTCGATCAAAAACTGCTATGTGCTACAATTTTAAAATCCTAAAACAAACACAAATTACTTTGTAAATTCATGGTGTCATCATATGATGAATCTTAGTGTCATCATCTGTGGAACTAAACACTCAGTTGACCTGACCCACTTCCAGAAAATGGAAGAAGTCAGCTTGATTCATGTGAAGAGACGAGTAAATAAAATAAATAGTATTGAATTGTTCAGTCTAAGGCAAAAAGGTTTCTTTCATACATATCACAAAATTACATGTTAGCTCCAAGTATGTAAGTATTATACTTATGACAATTTTAAAATAGAAACAGTTATGATGTGGATTACTTTTAAGGTTTATATTCCATTATGAGGTGGCTGTTACTCCGGAGTTAGTGGGTGGTTCAATCCCTAGCTCCCCCAACCTTTATGTCGAAGTACCCTTGGGCAAAATACTGAACCCCAAGTATCCACTGATGCATCAAAGTGTGAGTGTATGAATTTTAATGTAAAAGTGAAATAGAAAGAAAGGACTTATATGAATGTGTGTTAATGAATGAATGAGGCTTATATAAAAAAGAGTGCTTTGAATACTCTGATTGAGTAGAAAAGCATTATTAATTAAGAACAGTACCAGTCCAGTTACCATTTATGTAGCGCAGTGTATGAAAGGATGGAGTAGGCTTCGGTTTTCTGATGGGCGTGTCAATTACCTCAACTAATATGTACAATTTGTGTTTTTTTAGGTGCGTTCATCATTTGCTGGACCCCTGGTTTGGTCATCCTCCTCCTTGATGTTTTCTGCGCTAGCTGCAATGTCTTGACCTACGAAAAGTTCTTCCTGCTACTCGCCGAGTTCAACTCTGCCATGAATCCCATCATCTACTCCTACCGTGACAAGGAGATGAGCGCAACCTTCAGGCAGATCTTGTGCTGCCAGAGGCAGGAGAATGTGAATGGGACGGCAGCAGAGGGATCCGACCGATCTGCATCTTCCATCAATCACACGGTGCTGACTGGCAGCACCATGCACCACCATCACCACCACAATGAACATTCGGTGGTATAAAAAAAAAGAAAGAAAAAAGAAAAAGCCCAGTGTCTTGGATATGAATCCATCTTGAAGGGATTATTCTCTACAGGAGATACAGACTGAGAGAAGGTAAATGAGTGTATGTGAAGAAGAATATGGCAACTAGAATGAAAGCTGAAAAGACTCAAGCTGTCTGAAGACAGAGCTGAAGAGAACTCTGATAGGCTGTTATTATTTTGTTTGTTAATTTCCATTTGTGTTAAATGTGTTGTCACAGGTAAAGATGATATGAACTATTTAAAATCTGTGAAGTAGAGTATTGCCAGTATAGTCCATCCTCTTTATCCAATCTTCCTAACTTTATGCCTGGTAGGTTTGTACTATTACTCGTCTAGAGCCCCATCATTATGAAAAGTATCAAACTTAACACCCTACATTTATGTTATTGTTGGTTGCTGACTCACCTGATCCCAGATTTACAACATAGTGTTTTTGATTTTCATCTCCATTTGTCGGGCAGAAGCTTTAACTTTAAATGGATGTGGTGTAGGCTCAAAGCAGGATATTGTTACCAATGTTATATATATTTCAAAAGATGTCATCCAAAGTGAAATCCTGCCTATATTCACTTGTTTTCCATGTTTTGCAATCTACCAAAACCCTGTGACACTGTTTCATCCATGAATTCAACACAGTATTTTAATAACCTCAAACATTATCATTTTCTGCTGTAGAGTTGTCATCTATTGTTTAGCAACAAGTAAGTTACAAAGTACAACCAGGTTTGTTTGTTTTTTTCATTCTATTCTACCTATCCTCTTTTATGAACACGCTCTTGTGAATCCATTAAATCAGGTTTTTGCTTCCATTCAGTTTAAATAAAGTAAGGATCCAATGTTTGCTACAAATCCTGGATTGTTTACTCCCTCTAAGGATTTAAAGGCAGGCTGTTCCAGGGAAAAGAGTAAGAGGAGGACAGTTATGTGAAGGCAGGATCAGAGTCATGTTTGGTGCACTCTCAGAGACTTCATATTATGACACCAAATGTGCTGAGCAGACTGCCTCTCAGTGTTTTCCTTGGTCCCCTGATGCTGACCTCGGGAGGGAAAAGGGGGAATTGTGGAAGTGAATGTGAAAGTATCGCCCGAGTTAGTACCAAATTGCTTTGTGGTACCTTGAGAATGGGTTATTTAACAGAACAACTTAAAATTAAAAAAGAAAATCAAACCTTTTGACTCAAAACCCTTCTCCCACTCTATTTTTACCAGCTTTCATGAACTAACGATGATACGTGAGCATTTACCTACCTCACTTCTGGTGTAGCCATGCTAGCCACTGTGTCAGGCAGGGCTCTAGGCACAACAATGCTATGACTATGCTGTTGGGATGGCTAATGACTCACAACATAACCTTGATTAGCAGCAAACTGTGCAGTTTGTTGTGTCAAATTCTTCAAAGGTGTACACTTTTAAGGCAGTTTGTAAATTGTCAGTGGTAGACAGTGAAAGTTAGCCAAAAGCAGTGCTCCTCAGTTTAGTTTAGTTTTTGTGTTTTTCACCTCCATTAGAAAAAACACATTTTTTAAACAAAAAAATAAAGAATTTGAATTAATTGTTTAGAGAATTCTTGAACTAAAACCCCACAGACACAGAAATGCATTAAGCCTTAGCAAATGCTGCAGTTGTTTAACAAAATCTCAATGACCAGCATAGATGTTTACTTGCTGTAACACTGGTATCAGTGATATGAAGTAAGCAGATATCCAACCAAAACATGTTTTATTTTGTGTCTCTGTCAGAGAGATAGTTGACGCTTACATTTAAAGTATTATTGGTAGCTTATTTTGATTTTTATGACAGCAATGACAAATTAAAGTCTATTCTTATCTTCCCGCCTTAGGGTGCCTTTATAACTGACTCACTTATGAGTCAGTGCAGTTCGAATGGTGTAATATTTCCACAAGTGCTCTCATTAACTTGCAATTTTGTGCCAGCTGAAATCCAGCATGGCAATGCTATGATGCACATTGTTAAAAATTGCAAACTGAATGTTTTAAATCAAAACACATTTTGGCCAAAATACATAGACAAACCTCCCAAAAACTGACAGCAAAGTGAGAATCACTGCCAAAAGTACAGTCAAACGTTTTCCAGGAAACCAGATGTTTTTCAGGAATTTCAGCTGCAGAGCTAACATTAAGTCACCAGGTATCTTTGCCCAGATGTTTGGCCTATTAATCAGGCAATTTATGTTGTGATATACAGACCAAAAAAAATTTCACCATAACTCTGCAACACTTGCATACATTTTTGATGCATGTGTGAGATAAAGCACTGTGCCCTAGGGCACCTCAGTCATCACTTTTATTAGTCATTTCCTTCCTGTGCCCGTGCTTTTTTTTAATCCCTAGCAGTACTTCTACTTGAGACAAAATGAGAGAAATATTCTAAGGAACCAATCCCCCATAGCAAACGTGTTGCATTAAATTTGTCCAGCTTGACACTTTAATGTCATAAAAATCTTGACCAGATTTAGTCAATATATGGCTCTGGACCCAACACTCCATATTTGAAATTCACTGTAACATTTCTTTTAAGTATTAATTTAGGTTATTATATCAAACCAACTAAACATTCAGTGTCTTTGTTTACTAGTGTGTCAGTCTTTGTGTACCTTTGTAAGTACGTGTGTACAATATGTATATATAAAATATATTATGCAAAGTTAATCACCAAAGGGAAACATGTTTTGTGTCTGTAAATTTCACTGTGTTATACTCTGTCCAGATGTACTGTAGGGTTGTTTGTATGTTTTTTTTTAAAATGCCATTTGTATTGTGATCCTAAATAATGACTTTCCCATAAACACTATTACAGCAACATTAACTTGTTTGTGATGCAAAATTCAATATCTATGAGTGCAGTGCTTTTCAGTTCCTGTCCATAAAAAGTCAATTAACAGCAGAAAAGCAGTGATTCGCCCTCTTCTGGTTGAACGTTTTAAGCTTAGAACATGTCCAATCATACCCAAATGTGTTTAGCCGCAACCACACCCATCAGTGCTGTCTGTATGCACTTGTACAACACTGCAGTAGTGAGAAGAGTAAAAAAAAAAAGAGCGGTGTTATGTTACTTTTCAAGCTTGCTAATACACCAGTCCTGCATATGTTTCAGAAGGACAGAGTGTAGGATTTAGTGGCATCTAGAGGTCAAGTCAAAGCATGCAGCTAACACAGCTTGTGGCTAACAACCTACCAAATTAAAAGTTGTTAGCCAATGTAGAAATGCAAGTATCAGTATGGATACAATGCCTGCCCTCTTTTATGCCAGTGTTTAGTTATATGTATGGAGAGAGAGAGAGGGAGAGAGAGCTACATATGTCAACAACAGGCCTCCTGAAACTGCCCAGAAAATGGTGTGATGACTTTTATCTCCTTAGATTATAACGTCATGGCCATTTTACCCTGATTGCTTCTTATTTTGTCTGAATGATGTGTGCTGTGTTTGCTGTGGCCTTCAACTGATGCTGCTTGACACAAACACTGTGTGATGCAGTTCAGAAACATTCTGTAATACCAAAAAAAAAACTGATGTGTTTAATAAAAAAACAAAACAAATAACAAAGCTGTAGATCTGAACATTTTGTTTTTCCAAAGTGAAACATAACATTAAAATGATGTTGAAGGTTTCCAGGCAAAGAAAAAAACAAAACATGCACCACATGTTTTATATTTTTAAGTAATGGTGAAAAAAATCAATGTGATTTCCATATTATCTCTACTTTAGAGTCCAATATTAATAAATGTCCAACCACAGTCATGGTGTTGATACAATAAAAACATCAGCCTGACTCCAGGTGAAAGTGTGTGAAAGTTATCTATATGAAATGAAGGACCTATGTAAAAAACACACAAACAAAACAAAGACTCTGTCATGGTTGTTCTGTTTGATTTCATGCCAATATTTGTGCTTTTGTCCAAACAGAATGAGGAACACAGAAAGACACAGGCTTTTATTGTTGTTGTTGTTGTTGTTGTTGTCATTTTTTTCCCAGGCCATTAAATAGTTTGTGGAAAATGAGCCTGCTAACATAGTTTGGGCAGCCTTAACTGTTACCAGAAATTTTTGTGCGACTATGTATTTATTGTTGGAGGAGGAACACATTTCCTCTCAATGCTGTCTGTGTGCGACTGTTTTACATAGTGAGAAAATGCTGAATGAATAAGTTCCCGAACTTTACACAGTCTCCTGAGGCAGTGTTTCTGGACTTGGCTCATATTCGGCAGACAGTGTTGACAACAATTCATTAGACACATGTGATGCCATACTTGAAGTCATCTTAGATGATTTTGGAATGTAAAATGTGTATTAGACAGGCACATTTATTTATAGTATATGCGTATACATTAGGTTGTATAATCATGAAAGATATATTTGGGACGAGCTGAATAGGGGAAGGGACTGATAAGCATATGCTTCCTCCTTCTGCTTTTTGAACAAGACATTTTTGGGGTAACATTTTACTTTTGCTTTTCTTTATTTCCTCATTAATAGGATGGCTTTCAGCGATTTCATGTTTATTTTTGTTATATGTATTTACAATCATTACTCATATTTTCAAAATAAAGATTCGATTGACTGATTGATAGATTGATTGATAAATGGAACAGGTTTTCTCATTTTTAATAATGTTATAACGATGTAGAACTACCATTAAACTCTTATGACTACTTTATGCTCTGTCTAGTCTATACTGGCCTTTGGTGTCTGTAGGCTGATTAATTTGGAATACAAAAGTTAGTGATTATCTGGTGAATATATGGAAAACAATTTATTTAATTTGTGACAAAATATTCGATTGACACAATGCCAATTCCCAGTCTAAAACCATCTCTTGTGTGTTTCCACCAAAAAACAATTTGCCTCAGTGGCTAGAAGATATGATATATGAGAAACTAACCAGATGTAGCCCACAGATTCTGTTCAGCATGATTTGCCACAACTTCTGAAAGAAAGACATCACTAAAGAACTAGCATTTTACCAGCACTGGTGCAGCATTGGTGGAAAAGAGGTCAAATTTGCATCTTTAGTGTAGCACAATTAATGCACCATGTGCACGTGGTTACAGGTGCAAAGCAGAGACAACTGGAGCTGAACCACTAATATGGTATTTCTGTATGTTTACTTACACTGTAAGAGTGGTCAGGGTCTGTGTCATGTGTGACATAAAGTATGCAGCAGTCCTTGCAACAGCAAAGAGATGTTTCCATGGAAAACAACATTGTCTCCCCCTTCTGTGTGTGTGTCTGTGTGTGAGAGTGCATTTGCTCTGTTATGTTTATTGTTCCACAGCTTTGGAGTGGTAGCCTCCAGTTGACTGATATACGTCTGTTCACGTCCTGTTGCTGCCCGAAAAGGCCAATCAGGGCCAGTGTGGCCACGCAGGAAGTTCTCTGTACAGTTGCTGAGTGAGGGGGGATGTAACATCTTAGTCACAAAGTCAATATAGACACTTTCCATAGTTCCTCCCATGGTTTGCTGAGTGAAAAATTAGTCCCATTAGTCAAATGTCCTACTGCCTGTTTTTATAATGACTTTAATGGATAGAGTTGAGCATCATGTTGCCAGCTACATTTATGAAAGATGGAAAAGTCAACAAGACATTAAAAATCTGCTAAACAGCTCACATCCAGAACACTTAGAAAATACCAGCTTCCTCTGTTACACTAACACAGAGTTTTGACAAAACAGGAAGTGATTCTCAACTATAATAACATATGACTGCCAGACGTGAAGATCTGTTTTTCATGAGGCCACAAAAATAATTCTGTTTTACTAATTTACTGTGAATAAGTGTTACCTCCCAGTAAGGATCAGCTGATGGCTTTGCAGTACACTGAAAACAAAAACACTAACAAAACAAAGAAGATGGAGACAGGACAAGGAAATGACTGCAATGGCTGCAGATAAGAAACAAAACACCACAATCATGGATTCACTCTTGGAGGAAAATAGGAAGGAAATTAGGAAGTACATTCACATGGCTCTTTTGTATAGATTTCAACTTCAGTGAACTTTGACCTGTGAATACTTGTTCAAGAGTTCCAAACCATCCTGAAAGTGTTGACCTTTGACAGAATAGATAAACCTGCAGGATTAAGTGCCAGTGTTGTTTAACGAGTACATATCTTTTGCAGAGGCATTTTTATGGCTGATAGAGTTGCCTGTGAAATAATTTTAATCTGCATCCTTGGACAGCACACCAAAGAAGAGCAACAAAATGCTTTGCTTCTGTTTTTTTGATGTGGTTATACACACACACAAATGACACAAAGGACTGTTTAGCATTTTATAAAACAAACATTTCAATTCACTAACAAAACTGTTTAAGGATGACTAGGTGATTAGGATTAAAAAATAAAAATACAAAGAATGAGTAATGATTATGTATTCGGAAGTAGCATGTTCATAATGAATGTGATCACCTCATAATTTTCATGATAGCGCCACATGCGGTCTAAAACCTACTAACATACCATTGTATGATTCTCTCTGTATTGTATTCATTGGTGGAGAAGTGATGGAGATAGGATTGAAAGACTCTGAGCCAAAGTGTAGATCAAGAAAAAGACGGATGAAAGTGCAAGGCCAGACTTCATACAGTCTAATCTAAACAGTTTACACATAGGCATCCCCCACAACGCACACAGATGTCCTCCATTTAACTTGTATACACACACACTGTTGCACTGAGATGCAAACGCAGACATTTTGAAGAAGTTGTACAATTGCAAATAAACAGGGCTTATTGCAGTCACATAGAAATTCATGGTAAAAATGCTTTGTGTAGCACCATTTCTCTAATGCATCCTCTTGCACTGAGACATAAGATACTAAGGGCCTTGTATAAAGAGAGACATGCAATGAAATAAAATAAGATATAGTTTGGGCTCAGAGAGAGAAAACTCTACCAGTGATAATGTCAGTAGGAGCTCCTGAACCAGAGCAACACACCTTTGAAAGTGATTGTGGACATTTTTGGGTTTTCTTCTTTAGAGAGGTGTTTTGGGTTAAGTATGATGGCAAGTGTAAATATCCCTTTCTAACTGCCTGAATTCAGATGCATGCAGACCTTGTGAAAAAAGATCCATTGTACTCTAAAAAAAAGTCACATTTAGTTCTGACGTACAAACTGTTCAATAATTCTGTTTATTTGCAAGCAATACAAAGAAATATACTTAATGTGAATTATGTATGACAAACAAAAGGGAAAAAGCCCAAAACATTATTGATATAATGCAACAAATACAGCAAAAATGTAACAACATGGCAAATTTTAAAAGACAGTTAAGTCAGCCATTCTTAGACAAAATCAACATGTTTTTTTTTTTAGATATGAATATCTTAGCTTTTTTTATTCTATTAATGTAACCAAAATGGAATTTTTATCAAAGAAAAAAGGTTAAAGAGTACAAGCACTAAGTATGATCTCTAACCTAGCTGACCTAATAAGCTTCCATTCTAGATTTATATTTTCAAAATGAGGATGCAAAGACATGTGGGCAGTTTGTCACTTACAAGAGTCTATTTAAGTCAGTAGAACGAGTCCCATTAATAATTCTATTCATAATATGTGAGTTTTAGTGCTTCAGTGAGGAACTGTATGAGAAATGTAAATGAAAGTGAGGAGAATTAATGAACTTATGCCTACTGTAATTTGTTCATATGTTCAAGAAATATCAACAACAAGCTAAAACACATCTATAAAACAAAACTAAAACCAAAGAAACACAAATAAAAACAGAATGCCCCGTAGTGGAATACCAACTTGTCTACAAAACAATCATCAGTGATTTAAAGTGACTGTGTGCCACTGTGGAATAAGCAAGCTGACTTGAAGAGAAATGTTGTGTACAATCTTATAATAAATATTTCATCAATCCCTTTCTACGACACTGTTAAAGAAAAAACCTTTCAAGTGTAGATTCTCTCTTTCTGTCCAGCGAACTTTAGGGTCACATTGAGCCTATTCAGAGCATTTGCTAAATTTTCATCAACGTTTACAAAAAAAAACTCTCAATGAGAAAAAGAAAAAAACAGATGAATGAGGTACAAGAGCAACTACTGCTAAAAATGACCATGGTATATCTGTATGGCTAGTTTCCAAGTATTTCAGAGACTTAGGGTCTGGGGTGAGTTAACTGATTCAGGTTTAACATTTTTCAAAATTAAAGTGAACCTGTCAGATGGACAGCTCCCGGTAAACAGTCAGAAACTGAAATCCTGAATTCTGAAGTAGCAACATACAAATGACTACAATGTGGCCATGTTCAGTCTCCTGAACAGACAAGCTGCAAAAAGAAAATGACTGCAATTACTTAACCAGCTGAGCATGCAAAGTACAGTGCTGCTGTGGACTGCCTTTTTATTTTAGTTTTCTCTTCTTATCTTATGTACGGAGGTCAGCTATTGCAATTTGGTTATTTTTTTTTTTCTTAGGTAAGTTTGATAAATATTTCAGATTGTTTCTTTTTGTTTGTTGTTTTGGTATAAAGGCCACCATGAAGTTACACTCAGCTCCTTATTAGTGTTCCATCCTAAAGAAATAACATATTATTAAAAACATTTAAAAATCATTGTAAAATTGTACCATCTGTGTGATGTGGCTGCTTGAAGTTTGATTAGGATGGGTCACCTTTATGTTGTGGTCTGGCTGGATCACACCAGACATGTTAAATAAAAAAAAATTAAAAAAAAACTTAACTAGAACCTGTTTGACTAAATGAAATAGGCTATAAGTCCTTAAAATGAAATAATTCATACCTTGATCTCAAGAAACCCAAGAAAAAATGTGAACAAATTCACTGAAAAGAGTGGAAAGAGTTAAAAAGGGATTTCTAAGGCTTTGGGACTCCAGCAAATCACAGTTAAAGCCATTATCCACAAATAAAGAAAACTTGTCCTGACACTTACTAAGAGTGGCCAGCCCACTGAGAGCACATAGAACGAAGGTTTTGGAGTGGTATAGGATTGCCTTAGACTGCTCATACTAGAAAACCTTCCAGTAAATTAAGTTCTGCAAAGAAAAGTGGGCAAAAAATTCCTCCACAGTGTCGTACAAGTTCTTGCAGCCAAAGGTGGTGCAACCAGTTATTAGGTTTAGGGGGCAATTACTTTTTTACATAGGGCCATGCAGGTTTGGATAGCATTTTCTGCTTAATAAATTAAAGCATCATTTAAAAACTGCATGCTTTGGCTATTTCTATTTAAAATTAAAATGTGGTTGATCAAGTGAAATATGTAAGTATAACAAATATGCAAAAATGAAATTAAATAAAGTAAATAAAATAAAATAAGAAATCATGAAGGAGACAAATAATTTTTCCCCAGCACTGAGTGCTTGGGCCCAATGTAAGTATTCATTAAATCATTAAAACAGCAAATCAATGCCTTTTGTACAGGGAAAACCAGTTAACAGTCAGCATCAGCTTCAGTGTGAGCATTCATGCTTAGTCTGTTTTGATGCATACGTTCTAGTATCCGATGTATGCTACTGAAGCCGGGCCTGTCTGATGGGTGTGTACTCCAACAGAGTCTCATCAGATTATAGAGCTCCAAAGGACAGTTCTCAGGACAGGAAAGGATGTGACCATCCCTCACATAGTAAATAACCTCCTCATGACCCATACCATAATATGGCTGCATCCCATGGGAGAAGATCTCCCATAACACCACACCATAGGCCCAGACATCTGACTCTGTAGTATAGCGATTGTAGAATATAGACTCTGGAGGCATCCAGCGAATGGGGATGGCATCATTTTCATTGGCTTTGTAGTAATCAGCTGAGTAGATGTTTCTGGAGAGGCCAAAGTCTGCAATCTTTACCACCATTTCCTCTCCAACCAGGCAGTTCCGTGTCGCCAGGTCACGATGGACAAACTTGCGCTCAGACAGGTATGCCATTCCTGCAGCAATCTGCTTGGAAATCAATAACTGCTCTGTACAAGAGAGAAGCCCGGCCTCCAGCTCAGAGGAGAAACTGCGACCCGACAAGCTAGCACGACTGAGGGTGCGCACTGACTGGGTTGGAGATCTGCGGCGCAGGAACTCGTTGAGGTCACCATGGGCCATATACTCAAACATCAGACACATTGGTTTACCCACTGCACACACACCTGAGGAGAGAGCACACAGGAAACTATTTGATGGCCTATTATATAGATTAGCGCTTTTATTTTCCCACCACAGATGTTTTTGAAGAAGAAACACAAATATTTACCATAAACACATCAGTCCCATCACTGAAAACACTAAATTAACAGTTTTTCTTCTACAGTATCACATAATGAGTTCATTTACCTTAAAATGCCAAAAAAAAAACCAAAAAACTATTACCCAGACATAAACACAGATGGGCATGTACTCACAAATAAGTCGTGCATAAGTTCTTACATCTACTTTAGTGGATCTTTGATATAAATATGATATATTTATTTTTGGCAAATTAAGTTTCTACTTTTTTTGGACTTTTTTCCTGAGCTGAGTTTGGGGAAATGATGGCAAATGAAGGCAGATTATTAAATTGAGAGTGTAATGACTGAGGCTGCTCATGTTATAAATATCACTTGTGATTAATACAAGTTATTTGTTTACATTTTTAACAGTAAGGGCTTCCACGGGCTTTGGATGTTTGATGAGGACAGCACAAACAGTGCTACAGTATCTTTAAAACGACATGGATTTATTTGTTAAATGCCAATTTATACTGAATATAGTGGGCATGCAACCTTTATTTGACAGAACTTCCATACTTATTGGATAAAAACTTAAACTGCAGGAGTGACATGTCAACTTTAAAAAACAAAACAAAAATCAAGCATATGAATGAGGTCTTTGGTGAAACAGGATCTTGACAAAAGTGACAAAATTCATCCTACTTTATTTCCTCCTTATTTACTACAACTCTATAAAAGAGTGTCTGTCTGCTTGTTTGTTCTTCCATTCCTGTGAGTACTTGTTGCAGCTTGTGAGCACACACTGCCAAGACTAGCCCTCCGGTCTGCCATCCATATGGTTCACAAAAAAGTTTCAGTTCTTTTGAGCAGAAGTTAAAAAATATATTGCTAGATGAACAGAAATACACCACTTTCAAACAGTGCCTTCAGTTCACTCTTCTTTTCTTCTCACTTTAGTGCACGAATAGTGTAATTTATGCAGTTAGTGCATTGAAATGTACCAACTTATTATTGGCTGCAGTTATAATTTTGATTCTGTTTTTCAATGAAAGAAACTGGAAGCTCAATGGCCCATTGGTCATTTTAAATCAGTTTAAACTTTGTTCAAACCCAGTAACATTTATTTCCCCTCCTTGTTGAGGTTCCAAAGCCACACAAATTATGAAATGTGTCATGCTGAATTCTGGGGAAATCAATGAAGGGCCTTATTTAGCTAGACGGAAAATCACTGCACAGTCAGCCCTTGGACTGCATTTGGCACTGCCCTCCAGGGATGTCCACTGCAAGTAAGGGAGCGCTCATATAGGTGCAGCTCAGTGGTGGAACACAGAGTTGGAACACTGTACTTCAGCGCACAGTTGGTCAGATGTAATCTTTTTTAAAATCTGATTGGATCAAAAATGTTGAAATAGATTCAAAATTTTCAAAATTGTGGAATGAGACAACCTTATGTAATCCACTCTTTTATCATTACTATTATTATTTCTCTGTTATTTTGAGCACACAGTTATTTCAGGAATTTAGGATTGAGAAAACTTGGATCCAGTTTTATTTTATGTAGCATCATTTATGAAACATCCATTAATCACATCGTTCTAATTATAATGACACCATGAACTGAGACAATCCCAAGCACAGTTTCTCTTCCTTAGCAGATGAAAGTGCACTGAAGACATTTTCATCTGGTAAAGATAAAGAAAAAATTGTTAAATGAAGAAATCTGAATCTTTTTTCTTTAATTGAGTGATGAACTTTTTTTATTTATACAAATCAAAAAAAATTAAAGTATGCACTCATTTGTTAAGATAATTGTACAGGCAGAAAAGTGGGACTGAATACCTGATCCTGGATCGTGAAATGTGAGATTTCTTAATCCAAATCCAAATTATTCTGATCTATATTAAACTTTCTGAACAACTGAAGCCAGAAGCTAAAGTATTTGTATTTAGTTGTAGTTCACTTTTTTTGCGATTGCAACATACTTCCAATGAACTTTAGGGGCGAGGAGGAGGTTGGAGGTCATGTTCACTTAATTCATATCCTGTGGGTCACTAGATAGAACAGCTCACCAGAGAACAATTATCATGTGTGTGTGTTTGTGTGTGAAGGTGGCTGGGTATATATGCTTCTGTGTACAGGGTGGGGGAAACAAGTTGTAATTTAGTGCCAGTGACCTTTGCTAAAGGACGGTAGCTGGATTAAAATGTTTCACTCATTGCTAAATATATAGAAGACAGAGGCCACACACGGCACAAGACACATGTAGACTTATGGTATATCTAATTCTGACGCATTCGTGTTTTGGATGATGCATATATTCCTGCACATGATTTACGGCTATATTATTAGTCTAGAGGGTAATTAAAGGTTAAGGAAATAATCTAATCAACTCCAGTTTCATGCACACCAGAGTCTTTGCTCTTAGTGTGTCACTCTCCAGATGAGTCATCTAAAATGAATGCCACTCAGAAAATAACAAAAAATAGTGAGTGAGGGAGTGACTGAATGCTAATTTTGAAGAAATATATTGCACAACGACTGGAGCTGCAAAAGAAAACTTCTTTGAGCACAGCCAGTGATCAACAGCTCTGTTTATTCGCTGACCGCACCAACTATGCTGTATCTCCAAATGTCTTCCTGGAAATATATTTGGATGTGAGCTGTTTGTATTAGATTAGATAAGCTGCATTAGTGAAGATACGGAATTTTAATAGAGCACATTTGTTTTATATTGGCCAACAAAGGCACATTAGTTGTCAGTCAGCACTTCTTTACTGGCAAACAGCACTATGTGGATTATTCTCGGACTTTGATAGGTCCACAGCGGGAAACAAACAAAAAAAAGCATCTGAAGAGAGTGAATTCTTTCAGAAAAATTGCTGTTTGGAAAATCAGACTCAGGGAATTACTAAGAGGCAATCTTTTCTTTTTAATTTTATTATTTAGTTCTTTTTAATGAAAGCTGTACAGTTTTTTGAAAGTTTATTGTTAAATTGTTGCTTAACATAAGCAGGTGAAAACTAACAACGGAATAGAAATATTATTTTAAATGACCCAAAAGACTCTTCTATGAGTTGAAAAGCATTCTTTTCAAAAGCTCTTTGTTTGGTCCGGCTTCTTTTAAATAACTGATTTATTTTAGATACCTAAATGCACTTTCAGGCCATAAAACTCTGAAACCAAATAATAAATGTTGATTTCTATCAGTTTTTACATGTCCAATTCTGTCTTTTCAATCTTGTTTGAGTTTTTTTCTTCTTCCTCCATTTCCATGTTTCTGTTTTTCCACTTTACTTTACTTCTCCCTGAAGTAAACTCAGGGATTCGGCAATTATTCAATGTAAGCTCCATCTGTGACCGTTGTCTCTTTGGAAATCAGATTTTTCGTTGCACACTTTTTCTCTCTCGTTTGCACACAAGCACACACTAACCTAAGAGTCGAACTATGTTTGGATGGTCAAATGCGGCCATGAGTGCTGCCTCTCTCTGGAAGTCATTCTGCATGTCAGCTGAAGCTTCCTCCTTCAACATCTTCACAGCAACCATTGTGAAAGACTCCATGGGTAGCAGGCCTGGAGCTCTGAAACAGACACAAACAAAGATATTCTTGAACTGAGCACAAAAATATTATATTATCAGTATTTCTAGTGTATTGTTAATGTTTTTGTCACTAATGCATAAACCAGACTTTTGTTACCATATGTTTCAAATGTGTATTTTAGCTTTACCCAAAAGTGTCTAAGTAAACAACACAGCTATTTAAGCGTTAGAAATATGAATGAAACACATATATGAACACATATTTATGCTAATAGGTCTACAGAGAAATACTTCCTCTGTTGGCTCAGGCGCAAAATGATGTTTCCTAAAGTAGATATAGCTGGGACAATAATCTTGATAAAAACAATGATATCACACACACACATACTGTAGAGTCACACAAAAAACAGACTGAAGCGCTGATGTCAGAGAAGAAGTTATTTTTTTCCTCAGGTCTATTTAAGTAACTATCTTTCACGTGGCTGTGTGTGTGTGTGTGTGTGTGTGTGTGTGTGTCACAAATGATTAAGTGCACTCTATAGTCATGTATTTACTGAGTGAATGTGCACACAGGAAACAGCTTGTGTTTGCTTTTGATTTAGATTGAGATGCATACATTACATTGTACTAAAGAATGCACATACATACTGTGTACTTCATGTGCACATGAGTTTATTCCTGTGAAACTTCTGTTTTGGAGGTTTCATATCATAGTTGTATAATCATACAAGTGTGTGCGTTAGAGTATGTATTTGTGTTCATGTCTATATACTGCACCTTTCTAGTTTTCAACGAGGGATTATCATCTAGCCTTAAGGACATCTCTCAGATTTGACTGACTATGCACTCTGTGCATAGTCATTATGTGCTACTGTCATAATGCTGCATGCTATTATTGTACTGCTCTGTGATCAAGCTATCATATGATGTGATTTGATGCCTCCGTTTATCTATTGCATTAGATTTATGTGGCTTCTTAAATGTTGTCTATCGTGTGCTGCTTTGAGTTGACTTGTTATAATCATGTTACTTACAACACAATAAGAAATTCTATTTAAATTGAGATTCCTTTTTTTTTTGTATTAATCAAATATTTTTTTTAGTTTTCAAAACAGGCAGTTGAGCATTGAGCTTTACATTCTTTATTTTGTAGCACAGTCATGGACGTCATATGGGTGACAAGGCTGTGGTGCATGAATAACAGGGAGTCTAACAAAGTTGAAAAACCTATATCGAGGAGATCTAAACTGATTTACTTCTGCTGTTCTGAATTCTTGGCTGTGACAGCAAACAATTATAGATAGCTGTGATTGTGAAATCCTGTATTCAATAAACCTTGTAAAATGCAACCAAAAAAAAATTGGATTTGGGTTATTTTAGTAAACTACAAAAAACTGTCAAAGACATTTGATAGGTTCAGTGGCTCTGCTATATGTTTGCTTCATGGAGTCATGCCACTGTATGTCATCATGAATTTAAGCAGATTGCACCAATATTACAACATTCTGACTGATAACGAGCACTACAAACTTCTGACGACTGCTATCTATCAAGCCTAAAAGAATTAGATTCATGCTCATGACCGATTTATGACTTTTTAGAAATATGACCCAGCTCTGGTATTGAGTGTGATTAAAGAGATAGGTTTGCAACATTCATGTCATGCTGTAAACAGGCTCAGGGTGCAGTGAAAGTGACACCTGTAACAGCTTGCCTTGTGACTTTGTGAATGACGCAGCAGTTCTCAAAATGACCAGTGACCTTGTTTAGCCATGTCATCCTTCTCAGTCCTGTCTCATTCCCTTGCCCTTTCCCTCTGCCTTAGACATATCAGCATCATCAGCTTAGTCCCTGGATGCGATTATGATTATGACATGGCAATATTAAATATTAGTGTGCAAAAGCAGTGCTGCGCTGGAAGAAAACATCCTTTTAGATCTCTAACCATTTGATGAGAAATACTCTTGCTTCCCCTTAATCTCTCTTTTTATCATATTTGTTCATCTCTTCTTTTGTCCATGCTGTCTTTCCCCAGTTCTCTCTTCTTTCTCACCTGGCTTGGAAAACTCGTCCAAAGGCTCCTTCCCCGATATCTCGGACGTATTGAATATTATTTCGGGGATACTCAAGGGCCAACAGTTTTGAGTTCAGCAGCAGAGGAACGCGCTGGTACATGGGGTTAGGGTGGAGTCGATCGAGCAATAGCTCTGATGGAAGGGCGTTCAACATCGGGGTCTCTATTACTCTTCTAATAAAAATAAATAAATATAAGCGTGAGCATTACAAGGATAAAAACAGACACTAGATAAAGAAACATATTCCATCTTTATCATCTTTCTTTTACCTCTTCCGATTCCTCAGTTGCTTCTTCCATCTGCGGCAGCCAAGAATGATAACGGCAAGAAATACTGCAGTTGCAAGAGCAGTCAGGATAACGACGATGACAGACATTGAGTAAGCTGGAGATGATGTTGTGGTCACGGGAGGGAAACGAGGGGTCTGGAGAGGGTCTCTAGACTCTGGCTTCACTACTTAAAAGCACAGATATAGGAAAAGTCACTAAACTTGGAAAAATGACAAATCTAGAACTCTGTTGTCTAAAATCCAGATTGTGCAGTCAAAGTTTTGGCTACTGGGTAGCTTTTAGTCTACTGTAGGTGAAGTGTTGGTTTCAAGTGTAAGAAAAACAGGAACTGTAAACAGGTGAAGTGGGGAAAAAAGTTCTGAATGCAGAGGGCAGTACCTGATGCTATGCTTGTTTCCCCACACTGTGGAACAGCACAGTACTCCCAGCGTATGTTCGGATTTAAGGTATAACACCAGGGCTTGTCACTGATTCCTCCTGGGTTCCTGCAGTGATTGCCTGAATTCTTCAACTCTGGAATGACATCCACTGACAAATGGTGCTGGTGGGGAACCTGCAGGATAAAGCACAGTAGTAAGGATCAAAAAAAGAGAAACACTTTCTCAGGCCTTTCCCACTAAGAGGAATAAAATAGAAAAAGAAAAATCACCAACATACATACTGCAACAAGGACGGTTAAGTATATTAATTGGTGAATAAACGTGGTTTGCAACCTGTGAGTACAGGGCTGGAGTCTGTGTAATGCATGATCTCTTTTCTGTTCTGCTGCTGACCCTGTATTCCGAGGGGGTAAAGAGGAAATCTACCTTTGCTGAGGGATCAGTTCTAGTGAGTTTTCTGTGAAAGAAAGAATTGATTTGGATGGATAGTTTTTAAAACTGGTGAGTCTCAAATCAAAAGTGAAGCTAAGATGACCTTCCAAATATTTCTTCCAGGTTCTGTTCTGTGTAGTAAGGTTACAGCTCCATAACCATGGGCTATTGTGAGGGACATTAGGGGTTGCATGACTGTTCCTGGAATCTAGACTGCCAACTTAAATATGGAACATCTGGTGGGCTTGTATGTCATGAGCTTTAATCATAAAAAGAGCAATGGCCAACTCTATCCCAAGAGACATGAAGACATGAACTGAAAATGTTGGGTTCAACACATGTTGCTGTAGCTGAACGTGTGAAGTCAACAGCATGGGGTTGATTCCTAACTGGTGCCAGGAATGCTTAAAACAACAGATCTTCGCACTAGAATGACAACTTAGGCCATTTGTCATCGCCTTTCAAGATAATACACTGACATTTGGCAGGAAATGGGATGCAAGCCTCCATTGTCAAAGTGTAACACTTCATACAACCAACCATCCTCCCCAATCTTCTTCCTGCAGGCATTTTGCATTTTGCAACACTATTCTGCAACACTCTAGATCCATAGAGAGAGAGGATTTCTAGCAGAAAAGGGGGTTTTGGAGCATAAACAAATGATCTCTGCTGGTAAGTAATCCCCAGCAGTGGATCAAGTTGCATTTCCTGCAGAGAACTCGACCCTTTTTAATGTTTAATTAGTGGCCACTGTGTTATTATTTTATGGATGATTCTTACGCCGAGTCATATATATACCATGAGAATGACAGTGTTGTATAGTATGTTTAGTTCGTTAGCAATGTTTTCCCCTGCAATAAAGTTGTGAATCATCGTCTGCAGTATTTCTATGACTCAGCACAAAATGGCACCAAAGTTACTCCATTCATGTATCATGTACATTTACAGTTTACATGTTTGTGCTGAACGGAAATGTGATTTTTATGAGACAGAAGTCATTCTAAGCAGAATAGCATATGTTGTGGAGCATTACAGTGTTCTGCTCATTTCCCATAAAACTCAAAGAGCTGATTAGGGATCATTTGTATTATGAAAATATTTATGTAAAGCATATGCTCTCTGATGTGTGGAAGATAGAAGACAAAGCAAAGGGGTGGGGCTAAAGGCTAAAGCCCCAATTTTGGGGGCAATGAAAGCTACTGATTAAAAAAATAATTCACAACATTTTTTAAATTTTTTTTTTATTTTGAAGGATGGACTTTGGCATATGTACCTCAGTGGTTTGGTCAGTTGCCTACCATTCTTACTTTCCAATCTTAAAACAAAGGATGTGTCAGACCATACATACTGTTGTAACCAGACTATATTTTTTTTATTAACTCCTTACTCTGCGTCTTGTACTTCAGTGTGGCTGTCATTTTGTTATGGGACAGCTACTTTGCCCTATAATGTATCACACTTTGGGTGTGACTCTTAGTTTAACACCCTCTGATTTCACTCTGATGTTTATATTTAACACAAATCTTGTCTGATTTTCTATAATAAAATGACAATGAGATGCAAGTAAATTTATGAACTTGTAAAGTACACATCCCAAAGCACCAAGGTCTATCTGAAAACATCTACTGAAAAAAAAATGGTTGTTGAGTTCAAAATTGTGCAATCACATTAACATTGCCTTGGGAGAATTGTTACAAGAGACATTACCCCAATAATGGTGGTATATGCTGCTTACAAGGAGGAAATGAAAGCTTTGGTGCTGGCCAGGAACTTCAGCTTAATCATCAAAATGATTCCATCATGTTTAACAGCTCACCTTCTGACTTATGTTCAGCCAGGACATTATATCAGAAAGTAACAGTCTTTTCCTGGAAGCAGCATGGACTAAAGCCTAACTTCCTGATGTCACTCTGTCTTCTTTATAGCTTCAATCCTATTGTCCTAGTGCAGACAACACACAGCACTGGTTTGCTAAGCCCTGCTCCCTTTAGTGCTTCTGCACTTACCACTTACCAAGCTCTCTGTTTTCCGGTAACACTTACGAAGTTTATGATGTCAATTCAGACCTGCCTCTCAAATGTATGAGTAATTTGATGAGTCTGTGGTCACAATTCAAGATTATGGTATTAAAAAACACACTCGGAAAATCCAGGCTTCTTCATTTGTACAATATCATGTCTAAACAAAAAATTACACTAGTCCAATCTGTTGTAAATGGCTATGTAAAGGAGCTAACATTTTCCCTAATGTCTTAAAGATAAGAATTTAAAAAATCTTCTGGAATGAATCTAGAATTTAAACAAGACTATCTTAGAAAAGGAAAAATAAGGCTGGATAAGCATATATGTGGAATAGACTATTGTTCTTATCATAGTGCCATGCATAGAGCTTAGATGATTAGAACATTCTAATTGAAAGGACGGTGTGCATTGTTATTGTCACTATGCTATAACAGTGCAAAGTGAGCTAATTTTAATTCAAATTAGCAGATAGGATGCAAACTAAAGGGTATTTGTAAAGTCTTACAGTTCAAATAAAAAAAATAAAACAGTCAATGCCACCTTTTTACTTTCAGTATTCAACATTCAATTCCACGGGATTGTCTGCATTTCCCCCCCACAAATGATCACCCTTCATACAGTGCAGGTAATCTTATTATTCCTACATAACTCTCACCAAGCTCAGGCGTGATGCGGCGATTCTGTTTTTGACATACATTGAAATTTACCACGAAAGAAGATGAGCTCATATTACAAGTTGACACTTGTTTGTTGAATGTTTTATGAAATGAGCCCTTTACCACAATAGGATTCTGGAGAAGGATTTTTTTTCTTTTTTTGGTAATTTTTCCAGTGCCTGCCTTTAATTAAAATACATTTCAATTTTGCAGAGAAAGGGTGTTAACATTCTGAAGCTAAAATAACTGTACATTTAGTGGTATAGTGGTACTAGTCTTGACTTTCCCATAAATACATGTAATATACAGTGACTATATTTCTGCACAAACCAATCCATGCACACAGACACACAAGCATCTCTGGCCAATGTCATCCAGTATCGAGAACAGTAAACATGTCACTGGTTTTAAGAGTGAAGATGGTTGAACTGAATATAATTCTTGTAGAATACAAAACCGAACCTATGTGTTTATGTTTACTTGTTTACATCAGACACGGTTAAATGTGGTATTCATATGTTTTCTTCATGTGGTCTTATGCACACATAGTTTGGGGTGTTTACGAAGAATAAAACAACAACAGTTCAGTAGTAAACATAAGTGTAAGTACTAACATTTGAAAACTGGATTAGAAAGCAAGCTTTTTCGCAGTTAGCAGATAGTAGAGTATATATGCGTGAGCAAATCCAATATGCTGAAGTGGGAGTGGGTGTGTGTGTGCGTGTGTTTCAGTGACGGAGCATGTGGAACATATGCGTGTGAGAGCTAATTGCTTCCAGAGGCAGGATGTGACATAATGAGTCCCTCCCTCTCTGCTGACCTGGCGCACACACACACACACACACACACACACTGCACGGGAGAGTAGTAACAGTTCACCCTCTCACTGAGCAAAGCCATAAAAACATAAAGGGGCTTTTGGGCTACAGGAAGTGTGTGTGTGTGTGTGTGTGTTTAACACATTTGTGTGACTCTGTATTTGCTGGTGTTTGCACATGTAAGCATTTTTGTATGCTTTTCTGCTTCTGAGTAAGGGAAAGGAATGTTTTAATATAAAACTGAACATACATAAAACCTAAAACACACACACACACACACAAAATATCAGTGAAGCATCTTTTCTTGGTTAAAATCAGCTGAAAACACTCAAGTGTGTCCTGTTTTTTGATTACATGTGGTTATTTCATACTTTTGCTGGTTTTATACTTTAGTTATAAAATATCTAAGTAGTTTTGTAGCTCTAGGAACATTTACACAAATGTACCCAAAGACAACAATACCTGTTGGTTCCATGGTTGACATGGTGTCCCAGACCTGGTTACATTCACACTACCCTGGTAGAAATAGCCTCGGTCATTGTAACATGTTCCTGTTAATGTCAAACAGAACAGTTTACCGTAAGATAACAATGTTAACTGTAGCAATTACTTTTTAAAATAATAGAGTAATTCATTTTTGCATTGGACTAATTATGGCAGCTAGAAACAAATTCATTGTGATGTACTGAAAAAAATTTGTACTTACTTGTAATTAGATCTTTCTTGATGTCTGAATGTAGAAAAGATTAAGAAAAATGAATCTAAATATTGAGAAGAAGAGGAACTATGAAGTAGGGCTGCCACAAACGATCATTTTGATAGTCAAGTTGTCACCGATTATTTTTGCGATTAGTCGACTAATCAGATCATGCATCCATTGGACGTAAAACGTACAGCTTATTGCATCAGCAGCATCTGCTCTTATATAACTATCATTAGCTTACAGCTTTAAGTGTTTAAGGTATGTGCTAACTAAAAATAAAGACAAGATGATAGTTTATTAAATCTTAATGAAATCTGCAGATTGTTTCGGTGAAGTTTAATAAACTCCTTGCGATATAAAATATAACAGGACACCGGAGTATATTCTCAAGCATCTCACACTTCTGATAATCAGTTGTCTGCTCAGCTGTGTAAAAACTATAACTTTAATCTCAGCCAAACTGATTTACTCAGGAACAAATAAAATACTAAAAAAAGCCCAACAATAACATGTTTAAGTTATCTAAGTGACTTATATATATTTAACCTGAGTAGCGAAAGACGGCGGTGGGTTTGAAAACGATTTGCCGGGAGTCCGGTGTTCTCACCAGCTCTAGTGATCCTTGACCCCCGGCTAGCTATCGAGCTAGTGGGTAACAGACGTCTCCGAAAACGTCAGAGTGCTTTTGAAAATATGTGGTTTCTTGATAAACCAAGCAGATATTTGAAGTTTACACAACTATATTCTCGCCTGGAAATATGTTAAACGTTTATTTTGTGACCCAGAAAGAATAATAAGAGTAATATTAAACCTAACTAGCTGTCGCCATTGTTGGAAACTGAGCTGGGCTGCGCTATGAATTCTGGGACAGAGCTACTTCTTCGTCTTCGGGGTTTAACGGCAGCTGGCATCCTTGTACATGCAGTGCTGCCATTTTCTGTTTCAGTCAGTTATTACACTCTTAAATCCTACTACTTATTCCTGCATCTTTTGGGATCTTACAAAGCTTCAAACGACACGTCGACTATTAAATCAGTCGTCGACGATTTTGATAGTCGATGTAATCGTGACTAGTCAACTAATTGTGGCAGCCCTACTATGAAGTCATTTGAACCAGAAGATCAGTACTGATTCACTGAAACACACAAACACAGAGATACACACACCTGCAGCTATATATTTTGGCTCAATTCAGACAAACCCTCTTAATGACCTCATCAGTATCAATGACCTGCAGTGTAGCAGACTATGCTTTATTTGGCCCTTAGCACACACAGCTGTACCCAGCCAACTTTCTTTTACATAATGCTTCACTTACTTTTCATAGCTACTTTTTTTTTTTAGTTTAATGAAAGCAGAAGTCAATGTTCTTTTTAAAAAACAAAAACAAAAAAAATCTTTAATTTAACAGACTTGTGCAAGAGAACACAAGGTCAGTTTGCTCTTAAATACATTAGTCTTTGCCCAACTTATTTTACAACTACCAAACTAGCAATTTTTTACAACTAAAGTGGTTCAACAAACTAATTAAACTTCACTTCAGGTTGTCTTACCTGCAAAAGGAACATATGTACAACCATCAGGGTCTGTGTAAAGACTTGGTAAGGTCTGACATTTTGGCAGCAGTGAAACGGGAGCCTGGGACCCGGTGAGAGAGCTGAAGAGTCCAGACTGGACTGAACTGCTGCCTTCTATTATCAGCCACGCCTTATGGCAGTACAGCTCCTTCACTGCCAGGCAGTGTTCTCTGTTTATGAAGAAAAAGTGTATCAGATTCAGTGATTCTTTCTTTTGTTTAATAAATCTGAATGGGTCCAAATCTGTGGAGGGCCAAAAGTGCCAAACTGAAATAAATAAATACTTATACTAATAATACTAATTAATTATGCATCATTAAGTAATGAGAATTTGAAATAAGTAAACAAGCTATTAAATCCATAAATAATTATTTAGATGTAATTAAACGGTTTGTGTTCTGCAACCCATCATTAATTTATTTTCTCATTATTATTTTGAAAGGTCACAGACCAGACTGATTTTTTAAAAAGTGATTGAGGACTGTACAGCAGTATATTAAATTAAATTACGGTAAATATTACTGTTTAATCAACAGACTGTTAAGCAGCTCTTTCTTAAAACCATCATACATGTATGTATAACTCTTACTGAAAAAAAGATGTATATCACTTGTTAATGTTAGTTTATTAATTAATTTATTTTTACTCTAGCAGGCTTTTTCAAAACTTTCAAAACAGATAGCTCATGTTCGGAATTTAGTTGATTAAATATTAAATATAGAAAAAATTATCTTTTCTGGAGCTCGCTTGAGATCAGTCACCGTTATGCTAGTCCAGGTGTTTCTGATCCTGGTGAAAATGCTTGTGTCCTCATATTAAAATTTTTATTTTAAATTAAAAATAAGTTGTTCCAACTCATCTGAACATCTTGAAATAAAGATGAGATAATGAGTATTCAAAATATACTGAAAATGAGACATTAAAGTTCACTAAAACTATAAAGTTATGAAGCTTAATTTTAATGTTAGCCTAACCAATTTGCTTTAAAATAAATAAAACACCAATTATGCTACCCGTTAGTGACGTGTCGGTCGCGAACGAAATGGCTCTTAGAGCCGGGTCTTTGACGTGAACCACACGATCCGGCTCCTTATAGCAAGCCGTGGGG